AAAAAAAAAGAATATGTATATACTGAAGTAAATGAAACAACAAACATGGAGAGGGGTAGGGAACAGGAAAGAAATGGTGGTAGGAAGAGAGAAAGGAAGAAAGGAGAAAGTAGGCAAAGGCAAAGGAAGGAATGGGAGGGTAAAGGATGGGTAGAGGGAGGGAGGTAGAGGGGGGAAGGGATGGGGAAGGAGGGGGAAGAAGAAGAGGGAACAAACTGAGCACACTGAATTAAATTACATTTTATAGACCAAAAAAAAAGAGAGAATGCAGAAGTACTGACTAGAATTCAATGCAAAGACATTGTGCAGCCTGACTAAGTAGTGGTATTATTTCCTTCAACATACAGAATAATTTTCAGTTTTGGGCAGCTGTGAATCAGCTGGATAGTTTTGTTCTTGTTCATTTGTTGTTCTAATTTTGTGGTATAATTTATAAATAAAACTATGAAATGATTATGATGACTTGGGTGTTGCCATCAACAATAAAAGATGGGGTAGCTAAGCTGAATCCAGGTGTCTTGTTCTACGGAATGATTTAGAGCTGTTAAAATTAAAAATAGAACTACAAAATGAGCCACCATTCCAATTTCTGGATATGCAATGAGTATTGTCTCAGTATTATTGTGTATTAAAATGTTAAGAATGCAGTAATCCATTATGCTTACACGAGAGAATAATACACATTTAATTGCACAAGCAAAGTTACTATGTGAAAATTGTTAATTTTAATTGCTTTCCATTTTTAACATACATTTCTTCTGTAAGGTAAAATTTAAAGTAGCAAGTTAGACACCAATACTGCCATGGCAACAAAATGAACTAAATAAGTGATGTAGGATAATTGGACATTTTTAAATGTGTGTGTGTGTGTGTGTGTGTGTGTGTGTGTGTGTGTGTGTGTGTGTGTGTGTTGTGTGTTTTACAAAACTCTTGGCAGGCTTTCTTAATTGATGATAAATTCCCGAAAGTGGATCTACAAAAAATTATATCCTTCCATACCAACCTACCTTCATTCTCTCCAGCCCTGTTTTTTATATAATTTTAATTGCTAAATTTAATAACACCCTTTATGTTTTCATGTGTTTGTAAAACAAAAGAAATTAAGCACTATTATGTCCTCAAGGCCTCAATGTTATGCTTTATAATATGGACAAAAAACATGGACATAAAACATTGTCCCTCAGCTGAGAGGGTACATTTGCCTAGCATGCACAGAGCCCTGTATAAGAGAAAGAGAGTTAAGGGAGCTAGATAAGAAAGAGAGGAAAAAATAGGGAGGAACATGTCACGTGATGGGCAAGGTAAAAAGAGGAGGGAGAGAAGTGGGGAGAGAGAGTAAATCTGAATAGATTACACTCATACAATGAAGAATAGTAAACAGGACAATAACATGTGGCGAGTAAAAGCCACATCAGGAACTACAGACTACATTTTGATGTTAAGACATGATACTGAAAGGTTTTAGTTAGTACTGACAAGAGATTTTAACTTATAATACTTACTACAAAGAACGTTTTTGAAATCTAGTAAGAAATATACCAAAGTATATATTTTTTATATTTAAAAGAAGCATAGGATGAGCTCAGGGAGTTTCCACATTTCTGTCATCTCCTTTGAACATGAATGCAGGGACCTATGGTTGATTGATAAAACTTGTTTTGATGAGCACATTGGACACATTATAATTTGTAGGTAAAAAATAAGAGTAAGACTTGGATTTTTATTTTTGTGCTGGGGATTAAACTTGTGAAGGCTAAGCACAGATTCTCACCAATGACCTATGCCTCTTCCACCAGCACAGTGGAATATCTTTGCAATTCCTGTATTCAGGAGATAAAGAGGAAGATCTTGAGTTTGAGGTGAGCATAGGCTACAAAGACATACTCTATTTAAAAAATATTTAAAAAATAATTTTGCTCCTATATTTTCTGGAAACTATCTTGTATTACTATGTATAGTATATTCAAAGAAAAATAACCACGATATGAGTAAGTAAACTTGAAAGAGTTTCATAATTACACACTAATATTTAAGTATAAAACTTGTTTGAAGTTAGATGTGGTAGCAGGTGGCCACACCCAAGTACTTGAGAACTGGCAAGTCACAATCTCAAACAAATCAAACAAGCACAAAAGAAATTAGAAAACAAAGTAAAAAAAAAACAATAACAAACTTATTTGATGCTAAACCCATTTAGCAATTAAAATTATATTTATTACCTGGTGGAATAATAAAAAGTAGAATTATTTAAATTTTCCACATGATTAACATAATTCATAAAATTTAAAGTGTATTCAGAATGAATGATTTTCTTACTAAAAATGTCTTACCTTAAATGTCAGCAGACTTTTTGTATGATTAGGTACTATTATGGACTTATCTGTCACATTTCCCACTTTGCAGTCTATAACAATGTGATCCAAGGCCAGGGGTTTTGTCCCAATCCCATCAATTTCAATGATGTGTGCCATACCATCCACTTCATTTTGTAAAGTAAGTTTACCCTGTGATAAACAAGATAATTTTCAACTCTAGGGCAGTCAGTAGTCATAATTGAATGCCAAACAATCTCTCACACTATTCTTGAGTCTCAGCAACAAAAGGAGCTTTAAGAAACTGTTAGTTACTGAAGCTTACAGTTCATATAAAATTATTTCATTAAATAAAGAATGTACTAATGAAATGCTATTAATTTTTATCTTTCTGGAAATTATACATTATATGTAAGCAGTCTCACACAATTACATGTATTTCACCACCTTGTCAAAGAAATATTGATAAGGGAGAATTTTCAGATGTAGCAACTGACTTAATGAATAGGAAAAATGTTTCATATTTATTGAGCATGCTTTCTGAAAATAATCTAGATATAAATATTCATAGACAACAGCATTGGAGCATGCTAAATATTGTCCTTTCAAACATTTTAAGAAAAACTATCAAGTTTATAGAATATACAAATTATCAACATTTGTATAACTAACTACATTGACTACTATCTATATATTTGTTCATTTAAATATTAATAATGTAAGGAAGAATCCATGATTTCATACCATAACTTCACATTCCAAAATGGGTTTGAATGTCAAAGGATACTGAATAGTTTCACCAGGGCCAACATGTAAAATCGGAGGTCCACAAAACCATTCTCCTTCTATTTTAATTTGAAATTTCCAAGGTTTCTTTGTTTCATTTTTCTAAAACATGAAAACAGTTACACATATATTAGAAGAATGATGTTGGTAAAGCTGAATTATACACCAATTCTTATTTCTAGAGCCATAAAAAATACAATTAGGTTGGGATGGCTACGCAAGTACTGTAGTATCAGTCTTGTGGATCCTGGAGTTCCAGAAATGATGCTCGCATTGCAATTTAATTTATATTCAGGAAAGAAACCATGAAATAATGAGGAAAAACAATTTTCAGCCTAAAATACAATTATAATAGATAGGGAAACCTCAAAATGAGAGGACAGTAGTAGTTTGAGACAGCAAAGAAGTGCAGAATCTCAAAATACAGCATCCTGAAATTTATTTCCTGGCTATTATATCATTTCTATGAATTTGTAATACTGCACAGAGAAGGTAGAAATATCCTATTGGATCTTTCTCTGGTTTCATTATATATTTAGGAAAATATAATGTAATTTCCTTTTAATGTCACTTAGCACTTATACAGAGTCATGTTTTATAGCCAGAAGCTCCAGTAAAACATGAAAATAGTCAGAAAAACAAGTTTTCACTTACTATTGGGATATGCTGTGTGAGTGGTTCAAATGCTGGTGTTTTAAACAACAATTCAGCCTCTGGTTCTTCTTCATTTACTATACCTTCAATTACATACACACGCACATCATATCTTGATACCAACAAAATTTTACAAGGGTATCGTCCAGGCCCAAGGGGAGCAAATCGTAGAGGAACTGAAACTGTTCCTTCTAAAGCTAGCAAAACAATTTAAAAACACTAGTCATTTTAAACATCATAAGACCTAAAATTAATTTTGGCATGTAATACTTAATATTATTCTGTGAAATTACATTGACTTGGAATAGACTAGGTATCTCTAATGTAACATATTCTGTCTTGCACAGTTTTATGGAAGAGACCTTCCACTCTAAAACGTCAATAGGGTTTCCATGTTTTGAAAGACATTCATATATTGCTTTTTTCTTACAGTTTGGATGGTAAGTTAGAGCAAGAGAAATGGGTATTTCCAGTATTCAATATCAAATTAATATGAAATATTTAACTGGTCCAAACTAGTCAAATGGCTCCATTTAACTCAGAGTGAAAAAAATTGACGAGACTATATGGATGATCCAGTTGTATCTGCCATATTTTTGCAAACTTGGGGTTCTCTACTCTAGTTTTTAACTTCATCTTTTATGAATGCCCAATAACTATGATTAGCATTAAAGTGAAAGCTAAGTTCATTCTTACATTTATATTATACTTCAAATCATTAAGTGACTCTAAAGAATAAAGTTATACTCTTTCCCTCCAAATCTAAAAAAATCATTGTAAGTAGAATTCAAGAAAATATTGTTTTCTTTAAAGATTTATTGAAAAAGGCCAGTATTTGTTTCTTTGCCTTAAACATCCAAAGTAACTACCATGTTGTAAAGAATATACTGATTGATTCTAGTGTGCGTGTGTTCCCTTAGAAGTAAACCATTTCTTTCCAAAATATTTCTAACATTGTGCTGGATCAGTATTTATGCCTAGTAAAAGAAGATGCGTGAAGTACTGTCTTTCGCCAAAAACTTCAAATTACCTGTTTTTTTTCCCCAACTTAGTGGGTTTGTGCTTGTTTGGAGATCAAACTATCTGTACTATATGTACTGCCTCTGACGTTAAGATTTTATGTATAGCATAAGGAAGCTAGCTCTGACTATATTTTCCTAAGAATAAAGACCTATTTTTGTAGCATGAAAAAAAAAGAAAAGACTTTGGGAGCCCACTCCACATAAAGGGATTCTCTCCCACACTAGACACGGGGGGGGGGGTGTCTAGGCCCTGGTCTAAATGATATGACAGACTTTGAAGATCCTCCATGGAAGTCTTCACCCTCCCTGGGGAGCAATAAGGGGATGGGAAAGGGTGCAAGGGAAGAGTGGAGGGAGAGGAAACTGGGATTGACATGTAAAACAAGCTTGTTTCTAATTTAAATAAAAAACAACAACAAGCTTGGAAAACCCACAAAAACAGCTGACCTGAGCAAGTGGGAACTCATGGACCTTGAGTACCCTGTCAAGTCTGACAGCTTGATAACCAACATAGGACCAAACCAGTCCCCCTGAATGTGTGTGTAGCTAAGAGCACTGGGCAGTCTATGGGGCCTCTGGCAGAGGAAACAGGATGTATCCCTAGTGCAGGAATGGACTTCAGTAGCCCATTTCCCATGGAGGGATATTCTCTTAGCCTAGATACACAGGGGAGGGTCTAGGCCCTGGGCCCAAATGCCTTGACTGATTTTGATGATACCTCATGGAAGACCTCACCCTCCCTGGGGAGTGCATTGTGGATAGGATGGAAGGGGGAGTTTGGGGCGATGGGAGAATGGGAAGGAGTGGGAACTGGGGTTGATATGTAAAAAAAGACTGTTTTTAATTTAAGTAAAATTTATAAGAAAAGAAAATGAGCTACTGAATGTGAAAAACTATTTACATACTATTTTATATCTGAGTACCAGTCAAAATATTTTTATTGAAAATAAATCTATGGAAATTATATTGACAGAGAAATACTGAGTACCAGTCAAAATATTTTTATTGAAAATAAATCTATGGAAATTATATTGACAGAGAACAGATGACCAGTTTTTTTTCTACTTCCAAAAACTCAAGCAAAGTTTTTGAAAGTCCAAGTCACACATGAAAGTGCAATTTTGTCCTTTTGCTATGTTCTTACAGACAGAAGAGCATCTGACTTAAAAATAATTCAATAAAGTGACAGTTTCATTGTGTTAGAACATCTTCTCAAACAGCTAACCTTAGTAAGTGGGAGTTCATGCACTCCAGACTGACAAGCAGGTAACCTGCATAAGACCAAAACTGGCCCTGTGAAAGTGGGTGTCAGTTGTGGGGCCTTGGACTGTCTATGGGGCCTCTGGGAGTGGAACCAGTATTTATCCCTAGCGCATGAATGACTTTTTTGGAGCCCATTCCTTAAGGAGGGATACTCTCCCAGACTAGTTACAGGGGGAAGGGCCTAGGTCCTGCCCCAAATGATGTGAAAGACTTTTCTGATTCCCCATGGGAGGCCTCACCCTCTCTGAGGAGTGAATGGGGGGTGGGATGGGGAGATGGTGGGGGGAATGGGAGGGAGAGGGAATTGGGACTGCTATGTAAAATAAGAATGCTTTTAATTTAAATAAAAAATAAAAAAGCTCCATGGTATTTGAAAAAGTAAATAGCATCTTCTCATTACTGTATTTCCTCATTTCATAAAAAGAATGAAAATTGAGTATATATATTCCATGTTAAATGATAGCTTTATTGATATAGATTAGCATTATTAATTCAAGAAAAAATTCTCAAATGACTTTCTACAATGAATTTGATGTCACAAAACATATACAAAGATAACATGATTATCATGAACCTATAGCAACTGTATAGTAACTATTCAATTGTGAGTTGTCAACTTGTTGCCTAGCTACCATGCCTGCCTGCTATGAGCTATGAGTCACTGTTATTACTTCTATAGTGAGTGTTCATTAGATTTATCCATGTTTATCAATTATTATAGCAACTATTGTACAAGAATTCTAAGTTTACTTTTTTAAATAAAGTCTGTCTTCTTAGCCTACAATTGATTTCTTTAGTTTCATTAACAAGTATCTGCATTTTAAGTTGTCTCAATTTCATTGTTAGTTTTAAATGTTTTGAATCATTCGTGAATGGTCGCTTAGTAGGAAAAAATACATTGGGTATTTTTTTGCATCTTTCGATTTTTCTTTTGATTCTAAAATTAGGGGAGATGTATTCTTCTTAAGTGATTATTTGTACAGGTTCTTACTCTCATATCACTTAGACTTAAGCTTGACATACAGATTTGGGGTCAATTGTCTGCACTAAACTAGTATCTACCTATTACATATAGGAAGGATATTTTCTGATATGTGTTGAAACATTTATAAAACTCCAGTGGAAATGTTTACATTATATGAATTCTATCTTCTAGGTAATTGATTAATTCTATCACCCATTAGTTGTATATAACAATGCTTATGTAGATGCTTCCCATCTATGCCACCACTCTCACCAACACCTTAAAGATCGTGACTAGATTGTCCCACAAGATTGTATACTTCCTTGATAGGATCATTTTGGGGAAATTTTCTACCACAGTTATAGTTATTTTAAGTCCAGATTTCCTTTTTTCAAGAGGAATGCAAGCGTAGGATTAAGAGATTGGCAGACATTATACAGCCTGGCCTCCTCCAAAAGCAATTACTATACATTCATTCAACAGAAAGATAGTTTTGGATTCCTATGATAAGTATGAAAGTATTCAATTAGAAGTGGCACATAGTCAGTATTCTCATAGGTACACATAAATAAGGGTCTGAGAAAAAGGATATGAGGCAACTAGTTTATTTTTTCTTTATACCTAAATTATGTTTTAATTGGGCTTGAGCTAATGAAGGACAAAAAAAGAGTGTACTTTTCAGTCTAGTCACATTGGCTCAGCAATTACTGGAAATTCCTCACAGGACTCACATAAATGATTTGTTGTTATCTTTCCATTATTGTTTAGTTTTAATTATAATTTTTGTGTGTCTTCGTGGAGCATATAATGGAAAATTAAGAAAAGGTCTATCAAGAAGTGGTACATTGTTACCATTTTAACTAGGGAGCTTCTTTTCATATAGAGTGTCTTAAGAATGCAAAATTTCCCAAAGAAATAGCTGAAATAAGATTTCATTTCCTAATTAAAACTTACATAGGGAAGGAGGGAATGGAAATGCAGATAGCAAATTCACTTTGTATTTTTCATTTTGATTTCTCATACCGTAAAATTTGTCTCATTGTCCTACATTAAAAATCAGCTCACTGATTTTAATTACTTTAAGACTGATCTACTAAGAATGCAAAATGATTTAATGAACTGCTACCAAGCTAATGCACAGTATCATCATGAGAAATTTAAAGTTACAAATTTTCTGTTTAAACTATTCAGTTTGAATTATTACAGAGTATAGAGCCATGGGTAAATGACAAATAGAAAAATTAATAATAAATTATAACAAAATAATTAAAGTTGTAGCTGTAATCTCTTACCTAAAACCATAAAGGTAAAATTGAGTTACCTATCAAACTGAAAATGTTTTTAAAATTAAAAGAAAAAATATGTTGCTTTTGGGACAACTCAGTAGAAGACAACTTGCCTCTTAAGAATACATGTGCTCCATCTCAATACCTCACAAGAAAGAAAAAGGCAAATTACTTATGAAAGTGAGCACACATATCAATCCAGGACACATTAAGAAGTAAGATGACAGACTCCAGGCCAGTCTGACTACACAAGGAGATCCTGTCTCACAAAAAGCAGAGCTAAATAAAACTAAACAACACAGTGTATGCAGAACCATATGAAATTATATTAAGTTATATGACTTTTCTACCAGTTATCTTTGCTAGTTTGCTCTAGTAAAACGACTGTGTGTAGGGAAAGTTTTATTTCACCTGTACCCAAGTATGGGAGGATAGTCAGAAAAAGGCCTACTACCAGTTACAGTTACTATGGTTTCCAAAGTAGAAAGTGAGATTACCATCAGGTGGATACAGACAGAATAGCAATGGAAAATAGAAATATATAAGGCTGATATCAAAGAAGATGGTACAGCAGCTACAAAAGTCCTAGAATTTCAAATTGTAGGAAATGATTTGTCTGAGAACTGGGCTACCAAAAATAAAGATGGAGAGCATGGTGAGTA